AAGACTCAACAAAGGAAAACATCAAGCTCTGGTCTGCAATGAGAAGAGCAATTATAAAGACATGGATATAGGAAAAAGGGGTATTAGGATGAAACAGAAACTGAAGCATGAATAAGTTGTTGGCAAAATATTGATGCCATTAAAAGCATGTTTTGATGAATGTTTAAATAAATTCTGTCATCTGTAAGTCTTCTTCTAGAATGCACATTTTTCTTTCTTTCTTTCTTTCTACTCTAGCAGTAAATGTTACTTTATCTGTACTATGTGACCAATTTATTATTCACAGTTAAATTCAGTACAAACTTAATCTTTTTTATATAAAAAACATACTGAATAATGCTGCTAAGTATTTATGATTCTGACAGAAAGAATGACCTGAGTATTTCCAGTTTACAGCGTGAACTGTTCAGTCCGTCACAGAACAGATCCATTCCTGAATCCTGCAGGTCATTATTACTGAGATCCAGCTCTTTCAGGGAGTTTTCCTGTTTTAAAAGGGATCCAAGATTTTCAAACGTCTTTTCTCCAAGATTACACAAAGCTAGTCTATAAAGAAAGAACAAATACACAGATTTTACAACACACTCAAATGAGGATACTTAAGGTATTTGAATCAATCTTGTATAGACACCCCAGCAAATTATCTTGTACATTTTAGTTTACTAGGATGGATCATCAAGTTATAGAAAAAGAAATTAGTCTAGAGATGTTTTATTTTGTCTTAAACATCTTCAATAATCCCCAGAGCTTTTTGATTTATTGTTCATGATTTCTTCTTGGTTATGATGCCTATGTGGTGTGCTATATGTGAAAATATGGAACATGAAATAGTTGCAGCATTTGTCTATACTAATGTGCATATAAAATAAGTGCATCCACTTTTGAATTGGTTTGTCATGTGCACAAATTATTAATATTATTGTTGCATTATTTTTATTCTTATTATTAGTATTATAGATAATATTGATAATAATTTGGGTTATATAACCACAAGTCAAGAATTTTTGTGAGGTTGTAGAACTATTTCACTCAAATCAGATGTGGGTTTGATCATGAAGATATGCCAAAAACAAAACTAATTAATAATGAAAAATAATAATAAATAAATAACTGTCAATGAAACTTGTTTGTGCTTATTATGTGGTCAGAGTTGACTTTACATGACATTGATAAATGAGGCCAATTTATTATTTAAAATATTTTAAAAAATATTAATACACTGTTTATATTTGACGCATTTCCAGAGGTTTGAGCAACCTAGTCAATACTTAGTAGTTAGTTATCAAAGTAGTAGTAGGTAGTTATCAAATCTTGCTGACGCATTTGGTAGGAGACTTGCTAGGAATCCTTCAAGTCTTGTTTTTGGAATCTAAACTCTTCCTCGCAGAACGTTTTTGTTCTGTGATATTCTTTGGTCGTCTTGCATACACTGCATGGTTAAGATCTACCCACAGATTTTCAATGCTATTCACATGAGGAGATTGTGAAGACTATTCCGAAAGTAGTTGATGATGGATTTTGAGGTATATTTTGGATCACTGTCCTGATGTTGAAGTTCTCTTTTCAGCTTATGTTTCTTGACAGTGTTTCACTGTGCAATGTTTATTGTGATACTGGCTGCCACACAACCCCAAAGTATAATAAGTAAATGCATCTGGTTTATTTAAATGTTGTCTTGCATACATTAGAATGTGATAATAAGGCTGCAGGTAAGATTTCCTTCTGATATATTTTCTTTTTCTTCAGGCACACTTTGTTTTCACTGTTAGGCTCGCAAATCACTCTGTAGCAGCTCCGACACTTCTGCATAAATGTGATTAAACTATACATGTCTCTTTACCTGGAAATATAGTATTTCTCAATTTGTGACTGATCTGCTTTAAATTAAAGCCTTGAATAAAAACTTTTTTTATGTGATCAACTCCACCATCTGTTTTTTTCTTAAGATGAAACATCTCTGTACTATCAAGTGTTGACAAAATTTCAGCAAAAGTTAATTTTGTCCATTATTTCACTAAAAAACATGTCAAGTAATATTTATAAATAAAGACACATTGGCCTTAATAAAAATGGCTTTAAATCTTATGAGCTTCCTTCCAAAATAAACTGACAGGAACACTGACCTGAGTATCTCCAGTTTACAGTCTCCAGTCTTCAGTCCAGCAGAAAGCAGCTCCACTGCTGAATCCTGCAGCTCATTGTTACTAAGGTTGAGCTCTTTCAGGGTGGAGATTTTTGTTTGTAGGGCTGATATGAGAGATTTGCAAGACTCCAGAGTGAAATTACACATGGCTAATCTGCAAAGAGAGAGTAAATACCTTAGAGAACACAGTTCAGTCAAAAAACATGGAATCACACAGAAATACTTTAATTTGACTTATATTACTCAGGGTTGTAAAAGACAGAGTAGTTTCTGTCTTTGCAGAATTAATGGAATGATTGTTCTTTTATCTAATCTGTATAACTTTGTGTATTTTTCATTTTTAGTTGTAGATAATTTACCAGACATGGGAATCTATAACCACTTTCATAAATATAAAAACATACGTGTATGTTTAAAATAATTATAATTAATTAACTTACAGGTACATACATACTTTGCTGCTGGTTTATTATGTACACCTACACTATTCCTGTACTCCTTAGCCATTTTATCAGACTCACTGGCCAATTATGTGCACTTATGCTGTTCATAACAAACCTAAATGTGATCAGAAAAAGTGTTCAGTTGGTAATCCCTGCTGCTGAATTAAGAATCTGCTACTTTGCATTGTGACATTAGGCTATCTTTAAACTTATGCAACTTCACTTGCCTAAAACTGACATGAATCTAAAATGAATTTGTATTGCATAATGTAGCACATCCTGCAACTCATCTGAAACTCAGCCACAGCAGTTGCATGGACAGTTTTGATGGACAAGAAACTAAAACAGAGGGTTATTTTGGTTAGATACAGTTAGCCAGTTAAAAGTTACATTGTGCTAAAGCATGAACACCTGTTTCTGACAGTGCTGTTCTGCTTTGATAGTCTGCTAAAAGCTATCATGTAAGAAGGTTTTTATTTCCTTATTATTTTTTCTCCTCTGTTTATTAAAAAATCATATGAAGATGCAAAAAATGGGCCAAGCCCAAATTGGCAAAGCATTAAGCTTTGGTAAAAAAAAGTTTGGTAAACTTTATTTTGACTGTTGATACATTACTTATATTTAGTAGATGTATTGTTGAGATGTTACATCCTAATCTTACCCAACCTTACCCAAAACCTAACCCTAACCCTAACCCTAGCCCTAATCCTAAACCTATCCCTAACCAAAACCTAATCCCATGAAGCTCCAGTTACAGAATGGTGTCAGCAATATGTCTATAACAGCTTGATGCGGATGTCAAGGTGGTCTGTATTATACTTGTTATATGTTCAGTGACCTTTCACATCAATGTCCACAAAAATGAACTTGGACATTCCAAATAAAGTCTCTTGATAACCTACTGAACGTATCCACTGCTACTACATCATTGATATGCTACTGAGAGTCTGTTGAGTGTTTATTTCATCTTGAAAGGACCACTCAAAATAGTGTCACCTAAGCTTTTAATGGACTTAACAGCAAATCATTAAACAAATAGATAAAGTAATTTTATATGGGACAGATTTTCCCTTTGGTCTCTTTGAAGGTGAACACATTGTCAGTGACTCCTTTGGGAACATTTTGGAGAACACAGCTGTAACTTAACTGTTGGAGACTGCAATGATGGAAGAGTTAAAGTGGAAATAGGTGCACAAAAGTAAAAACTGGACAAATTAAATATTGGCAGATTTAATATTATATTCAGTGTTAAAGGCTTTTATGTAATTTTCTGTTATTTCCTCCTTTTTTGCTGATGCTGAAAAATGAAAAACTTATTTAGGCTGGAAATTAAATAAATGAAAGAGTGGTTTCTTAATTTTGCTAAATACTGTGTAAACATGGGTTGCATACTTCTATAATACTGGAATAGAATATCTCCTTTGTGATTCTGACCTGAGTATCTCCAGTTTACAGAGTGGACTCTTCAGTCCATGGGAAAGCTCCTCCATTCCTGAATCCTGTAGATTGTTCTTACTGAGGTCCAGCTCTTTCAGGGACCAGGTTTCTGCTTGCAGTGTTGATCCCAGAGTGTTACATGTATATTTCCCAAGATTACACAAAGCTAGTCTGCAAAGAGAGAGCAAATACAACAAATATGAAAGTTCTACAGTTGCAGACTGTAGTTCATTTATTTATGCATAACTGGTAAACTCCCCATTACCCCATTAATCAGTGGTCAAGACCCCTACAGGAACTATACTGAGCAGGTATTATTGGGTGGTGAATCATCAAAGACATAGACTACAATTTGATATTATAGAACTACAAAGTGGCTAGTTAGCTAATATTTGGGCAATGGCTTAGAAATAGCTACACTAAAAACATTTCCTCTGTTAAGTAAGGTCAACTTTCTATAATGTTTTGTGGTTGCTTTTCCAGCCAAAAGCCTGGGAAGAGTGTGAGGACACATCAGGGAATCCACAAAGTAAAAGAATATACCAAAAAAGTACCAAAAAGCTAAAAATGAATTGTGATTAGACCTTCCAGCAGGACTGTTATCCAAAACATAACTTCAAATATACACATAAATGTTTCACAGAATTAAGCTTTTGACATGGCCACCCCAGTCTCCTGACCAAAACCCTACTGAAGAGCTGTGAAGAGGAGAGTGCCAAAGAGAAAGGGATCTAGAACCATGAGGATCTGAGATTTTTTACTGAGGAGGGTCTCAGATTCCTTACTTTGTATTCTATAAACTTGTCAAATTTTATAGGCTATGTATAGGGAGGTTACACATGCAGGAATGCCAATAATTATAACACCTGGGTATGAATAAATTGATAAGACTAACTTTATTTCTATTATTTTTTCCTGACCTTTTGTTTTCCCATCTTTACCAAGGATATAATTATAATAATCATGAAAATACTGACCTGAGTTTCTCCAGTTTACAATGCGAACTCTTCAGTCCAGCAGAGAGCAGCTCCACCCCTGAATCCTGCAGGTTGTTGTTACTGAGGTCCAGTTCTTTCAGTGAGGAGGTTTCAGTTTGTAAAACTGACTGCAGTATGTTACAGGACTGTTGACTGAGTTTACACATAGCAAGTCTGCAAAGGCAGAATGTATATACATATATATATATATATATACATACATACATTATATATATATATATATATATATATATATATATATATATATATAAAATTAACCTCACAATTATTATTGATTTTATGAAATATTTAAAGTCTGACCTGAGTATCTCCAGTCTACAGTGTGAACTCTTCAGTCCAGCAGAGAGCTTCTCCACTCCTGAATCCTGAAGATCACTGTTACTGAGGTCCAGCTCTTTCAAGGAAGAGTTTTCTGTTTGTATAGCTGTATTTAAAGTTTCAAGGGACTGTGCAGTGAGATCACAGCCAGCAAATCTAAATTTGGGGAAGAAAAGGAAGTAAGTAAATTATATAAAGATTTATAAACTGTGGTTTGTATTTGGAATTATCAGAACAATAAAATGTAATGGTGTCATTCCATGTAATTTTTTCATTCTTGTATTGGACTGATAATGTTTTGAGACACATTTCCTTGGTTCCTTCTTTTTTTTCTCCTACTTGCTTAATGGTGATTATCTGTTTGAAGACTTCTGCAAAGAATCTTATAAAGCAAGAACTCACAGAATAGTTTCCTGCTCTTTAATCTACAAAAGATGTTCATGACTGTTCTTTAACCAAGGTTGCAATGTTTACTGTTGTTTCTTTTACTATTACATAATGTATCTTTCATCTAAATCAAGTAAATAGTGATCTATGGCATGATTCAAAATGAAACTGGTGAACATACAAAATAGAAATTTACACGTTACACTAAATATATTTTCTCATAACAACAAAATTGTCTTGAGGCTCCCAGAAGAATAAAACATTCATTATTAACAACCACAGGTTTCTTAGTATGGGCTGCTTCCCTCAACAGTGTTAAAAACAAACGTAAAAACATTAATGATATTCAATAAACAACTCATCTTGTTCTATTGCTATGTAAGCCACACATTGCTTTCATTCATTGTAAAATAATGTTTTCTCATTTAAATAAGAGTCTGTCTTATTATAATATAATAAACTAAACCTCAACACAATTCTTTACCAGTTATACATGCTCAGTCATACTTTAGTGTTTTCAGTGAAATTTACTAATTAAATATTTTATTGAATTTATTTATTTCATGATTTATTTATATGTGTATGTATGTATGTACGTATTTATTTATTTATTTATTTATTTATTTATGACTTTTGGCCTTATCCAGGACTGCTGGAAAAGAAACTGCATAACTGCAAGAGTCAATTTTCAATGAAAAGCAAAAGAAATTATACCCCATCTATGAGACAGAACAGTAGAGAAGCAGAAACAAACAGGTAAAATAATGGACTGGACTGTCTTTGTGTGGTAGTGTTTTGAGAATACTGATTCTGATTTTAACACAACAGAGAAAATATTTACTACTTAATGAAAGTATTCATACCCCACATGTATATGTGTAAGGTATGTAATGTTTTTAAGTAATTTGTCATGTGTTAATCATAAATCTAACAGCAGACCATAGAAGCTCCAAATGCAACATAAAAAACATAATTCTCTGACACGTTTGACTTCTCTTTTCCTGTTTTTTTTGTTAACCTCCTTGGACTACTTAGACTTATTTAACATTTTATACAAATCATTAAGTCATAACACAGTATTAATATTAGCTTTATAATATTTATGTCAAACACTCACTGAGCCATTCTACAGTTTGTGATAGCTGGGATGAGTCTCCTGTATCCCTCCTCTGATGTGTTGTATTTCTTCAGGTCCAACTCTTTCTTCATATTCTCTGACTGGAGATGCATGTAGGTTATGACTGAGCATTGTTTAGGAGAAAGTTTCTTTTTTGAGAATTTATCTGAAATTAGAGGGAAACAATGGAAAGCCTTTAGATACTACCATCATCCAGTGACAGAAACTGTTTGAATATATGACTTTCTAGGTATATCTTGAAGAGTACAGTAGCAGAGACTTACTTCTATTGAAAAATGCATCCATGAATATTCATTAGCTATGTGCTTCTGATGAATTTGGGAATTGTCACTACAACAAATGGCAGATCTATTCTTTTAAACCTCAGTATTTTAAGTGATGTTTTATATTACACTTCTAGGGATGTAAAAATTAGTGTCTGTGATTTTTCCCTCATCACCCCAATCACCTGTCTTGTATAGCCCCATCTAGTGAACTTTGAGTTCTCCTGTGTCTTGTGTCATTTGTATGTTTGTCCTTACTTCCAGGGGCACAGCTTTCCTGCATGACCTTGTGTATGACCACTATCTGCCATTAGTGTTTTTAATGTTTAATTTTCAGTTTTTAATTGTCTTATTGTTGGTTTTTGTAGCTTATATGATTGTTTTATCGTTTCATTGTTTTACTTAATCTCTGCCGCTTTTACTGTTGTGGTATGTTTATGTTTACTAATTTTGATACCTCAAAGGGATTCCGGCAACCAGTGTGCAAAATACCCCCTTTATTCAGGGGGTCCTAAGTTGGCTGGCTGCTAACTCACTCACCATAGAGGCACTGATGCTAGCTTCAATGGCAACAAAATGTTTGGTTTAACAATTCATCTTCTGGAAATGGGCTTTTCCATACATTAACTGAGATCTTACACGTCTCCTCTTTTGTCTTATTTCGAAAAATGAGTAACAAACTCTTGGGAAATTGTGCTGGTTTTACTGCAGCATAGTGTAAATATTAAAGACATGCTTGCTGATGGTGCGTGAAGCAGCTGAACAATAACCTTTCCTTGAATTTACATTTTTGAGACATGCAGGGGATCCAAGAGGTTAATTAGGGGATGTCGGAGACCCTAGGACCCCCTCTATTTAGCACCTTGCCAGAAACTCTGAAAAAGCCAAGTTATGTGGAGAATAGGCTATGCAGCTCCTTACTATAAATTATTCCTATGAATTTCTGCTTTCTTTAAGGAATAACAAAAACAACCTGGGGACACAGATGATGGTTTTCTCCTCTGGCTACCTTTTAAGATTAAGCAAGAAGCAAAAAGTGAAGAGACCATGTGCCCAAGGAAGAATTAGAAACTGGCTAAAGGTGCATGAAAGCCGACATGTGCCCATGGAAGAATCAGAAACTGACTTAATGTGCATGGAAGCCGACATTTAATTGTAATCAATTTATCAAATGCCAAAACAATACATTGGATGAAGTCTCACTGCACCTTAAATACGATGAGAATTTGCTTTCTGGTTGATAAAAATGAGCAACACATTTTACTGTGTCATCTAGTTGACCTAGATAACAAAGTTGCCCAAGGATGGCAAGGTGGATGTTGACAGCAATGTTACAATTAGAGCAGGCAGAGACAAGATAAAATCATGAAAATCCATTGGAGGAGAATTTACATTCTGGTTGTTAAAAAATTGGCAGCACATTTTACAGTTTTAAACAGATATACACAGAAAAGTATGAAATAATGATGGTATCTTTTCACACTTTTTTTAAACCATGATTTGGGAAGTTAACTATTATTTTGGTTAATGCTCTGGGCTCTAATAATAAGGAAGCAGCTGAGCACATATTTGATAGCTTTAACAACATGCTTACATGATCAGTTGATCAACCAGTGTTTATCCTCAGTATGTTAACTGCCAAACTTGTTTGCCATTCTTGATTTGTGTTATGGACAGAGTTGTTCAGAACACCTTGAAAAAGCAGTGTTGGCTGAAACCTAAATATATACTGTTTTAAATGTATTCAGTAAAGCATTCTGTTACAATACATTAAAAAAAATACATATTCAGAATGCATTTAGAATACATGCTGTTGTATTTTACCCTGTTCCTTGCTGGAATTTTCGTCATGTGATTCTACTGTTGATATGAAAAAAATCACCTATTTAAATGCAGTTACAAAGTTCTCCACATTATTTTGGCTCTCATCACCTGTGTCAGCCCACTGCTACTCCCATAATCCCTCTGCCATCTCACAAATTAAGGAAACAATTCACCATATCCCTATAACAAAATCTGACAAATTGGACTACAAAGTGTGTAGCTATGTGATTTTTCAGTTAATGACATGTCTGTAACTTATGTATGTTACTTGCCACAACAACACTGTTAAGCATATCACTTGTGAACATGTTCACTACTGAGGAGACTGTTTAGTTCCATCATCTGTGAAAGGAATTGAGTAAAGCAGAGATTAATAACTGACTGATCATATTGATTTATCAGTCTACTCAGGCTTTAGGAGGAACAAACAGAGATTGCAAAGAGTTTTTTGAGAGCAGGAAAACTCTAAAATGTACAGAGCAGTGGTTCTTCAGCACCAGGGCTGAGTACAATTTAACACAATATGCTGATTTTAAATATTTAATAAACAAGCATTGATTGTGTTTTTTTAAAGAAAGTATATATTTTTAAAATTTGTAAGTATTCTAAATGTATTCTTATAAAAATAAAAAAAACTGTTTTGGCAGGACAATAAAGTTATATTCTTATTCTAATTCCAATCTTTTATGATGGCTGTGACATTGTATAACTTGTATTCCCCTGTTGTTTTCTTAATGCAAGCCTTCCATGCTCTTAGTGTCTGTTTGATCTTTAATCCCTGCCAAAGCATCAGGTATGCTTTCTTTAACAAACTATGTTTATTCTATTTGTCTCCTTTGTTACAGTGCCAAAGATGGCCTTAACTATATTTCAGCAGCATGACTGCAGTGCAAGTTCTCAGGCCTGGTCCCAGAGCCCGTCTTCTCTTCACATTTTAGTGTGTTCAATGCTCTGACACACCCTCTACAACTCTTAGGCTTGTTATTGAGTTGAATAGTTAGATCAGGTTGTGTTAGATCAAGAAAACACCAAAATGTACAGAGCAGTGGTACTCCAGCACCAAGGCTGGGAAACGTTACTCTGCAGCACTAGTTTATTGATTATGAAAAAAATAATATTTTAAGCTACATTGGTTAAAATGACATTATTTCAAATATTATTAATCTTACTTTCTGTGAATAAGGGCATTTTATTAAGATATGTAATAGGATTGTGACTCATGT